AGCATCAAGTTTGAAGAGTTCCGCAAGCAGCAGGAGGAGCAGGAACGTGCGGATCTGGAGTTAGCCCTCACTCTCTCACGTTCCATGACCACGGGCAAATCCCAGACTTCACGGTCACCCTCCACGGGCCTCTAAGTAATGCTGGGGAACTAGTTGTGTACATATGTCAAAATACCCATAAAGTGAAGTTGTTAAGAGATGTGACTGTTGAAGTTCAGATTATAGGTTTAATATTCTCTCTCTCTCTCTCTTTCTCTTTCTCTTTCTTTTTGTCCAGGTTGGTTTGGAGTTGACCAGAGTACATTATCAAATTGAATATCATTAAAGTCATCATTGTAATCATTGTCAGTTTTGTACTGATAACCACATTAATAAAAATGAGAAGATTATCCTAAATACTATTATTTTTATGATCATTTTTATTTCATTTTTTTTACTGTTATTTTTTGTTCCTCATATTACTGCTGATATAATTATTATTGCTATTTTTATTATTATTATTATTATTATTATCATTATTGTTGTTATTGATCACTTAAACCCACAATATGTACTCTGCTCTATCTCCTTTGATTCCAGCTCTTTCCATTACCTGATTTCTCTTTATTCTTGGTGTTATTAGTGTCTTTTTGATATTATTTCTCGACTGTATATGCTATATTATTGATATGTAATTAATATTAGTAAGCCATTGTTGTACTGATTATGTAAATTATTTTTTTCTCTGAGTATACACATATGTTGATAAGCATGAGATATTTTGACTGCATTTTTTTCCACATGACTGAGCAATTGCAGTGGGCTTTGAAGGGAAATTTTGGTGAAGGTTTTTATATTTTCGTCTCTAATTTACCGTATTTCCTACCCTTTATCATATAAAAAAAAAAAACAGTGTATTCTTCTGTTTGCATTGTTTATCTTATACACTTAATGGTCTTTTTCTCTTTTCTTTATTTTCTTTTTTGGTTTCCATTTTATTGATCTTATTAGTGATAGCAGGCAAAGAAGTTTGTTTTGTCTCCTTTGGTTCTGTGTTAGTTCAGCAAAGCTACTGCCCCCAGGAAAGCAGCTAAAGGAAATTAGATGAAAGAATTTGATTTTCACCACACCCTGCTTTTGCTGTTTTGATGATTATAATTATTTTTATTTTCTATACGGTTCTTAACATCAAGGTTTTTATTGCCTGCATTGAGAGCAGAATACAAGCTCGTAACTGACCATTCCTCATCTCTCCAAAGGATTAGGTTTTGATATATTTTTATAGGTGTGGTTGTTTGCTCTTGGATGTGTGTTTGTGTGTGTGTGTGTGTTTGTGTATGATTTAGATTGCATTTACATTTTTTTTTTCCTTTTTTTTTTTTTTTTTTTTTTCATTGCTGTGATTCAGTTTAACACTGGAGTATTAGAAATTGCTATAGAATGCAATACTATCATAAACTCTGTTATAAAGAAATGAGTGGACTGTATGTTGGCTAACATCCCCAAGTATGTTTAGTCTGTGTGTGCGTATTTGTGTATGTGTCATGGATGCATGGGAAAGTTTGCATGTATTTATGTGTGCATGTAAACTTTTGTGTGCACACTCAGGTATGTGTGTTTGTTTTCTTGTATCTTCATGGGGAGATGGACTTCATTTTCAGCTGATTATTGGAGTTACTGTATTTTCTATATAACTTGCCTAAAGTTCTATTCAGTAAACAGTTTTTTCTTTTCTCTTGAGTAGTGGTTAAAGGCAGTCGTATTTGAGAATAAAATATCTAAATTTGCTGCATGTCTTATCGGATTACAGCCACGTGAGATGGCTTTGATGCAGAAAAAGAAAGAAAAAAAAAAAGATGTAACAATCAAACACAAAGCTTAGCAACACCCACTTGATACCGAAGACAAATCTAGCTTTGCGTTGCTGTAGTCTTCTTTACGTTTGCGTCTTCCAAGAAGCAATATACTATTCTTTCTGACCCACGTCCTTCCCATGGGTCAATGATCCACTACCTCGGTCATTCTTGTTGCTATAGGGTCTCCTGTCAGAGTGTTGAAAAGTAAGTAAGAAGAAGAAGAAGAAGAAGAAAGAAATGTGAAAGAAGAAGGTAAAAGAAAGGAAAAAAAAAAAGAGGATAAGATAAAGGGAAGAAAAGTCAATTTTGTGCCAACTGTATGTATGGTAACAGGAATAGTGGCCATATAAACTTTTATTTTTATTTTATTATTTATTTATTTATTTTTTTTTCTCCAACATCTGACTTCAGTGGGCTGTTTGGCATTAGAGATTAAAAAGAAAAAAAATTGGCTTACCATAAAGGGTCATATTCATTTTTGTGGACTGTTGAAGAAAGCAGGGGAGTGTGTTTATGACGATCAAGAAGAAAGGCATTTTGGTTTGGTGGGGGAGGTTGGGGGGGTGGAGTAAAGAGGGAGGGAGCGTAGATTGATGTGTCTTAAATAGTATCCAAAACACAGAAGTGAGTGATAAGCTACATAAAGCAGTCTCTGTCCACAATTCATGATTTTTAGTTTTTCTCTTGATATGTATGTTTTTCATTTTTGTTTACAATTTATAAAAAAAAAAAAGTGTTTTGACTGTACATTTGTAGAATAATTTTTTTTTGGAGTAAGATGTTCTTGTATAGCACCTGTGGCTTATCATTGTCTTCCAATTGAATTGTATACTAGTATATTAGACCGCTGTACATTTTTCATTCCAGCACTCATAATATGTAGAAGCAATAGCAATTTGGTATTGTGTGTCAATTTTTTTTAATCATTTATTTTTTTTTTATTGATTTCATTCTTAAAAACTCCTTCCCCTCCCATGGTTAGGAAGTGTACATAAGGCAACATTATGGAAGCGTTATCTGTATGCGGTTGATGAGAATGTTCTAGTCTTGCCGTTGGAAGTAAGTGCTTGGTGGATGTCTAACCGTCCGAGTCGTCTCATCCAGAGAATGCTGTTCCACTGTCCATGGGTTTAGAGTTTGTTCAAACTGAAGTGCTTTACTGTGCGAGAACCGTGTTGTCAAGAGTGAAGAAAGGTAAAGAAAAAGGAAAAAAAAGAAAATGGAATAAAATGTAGATGAGGAGAAAGCTAAATAGGTATTGAAAAGGAATGAAGAGATTTTACAGTTGCGACAGTGATTTAATCAGTTGTCCTCTTTCTGGGACTCGTTGCTTGAAGTCTGTGCGAAAGAAAATTTAAAAAAATAAAAATAAAAATGTTAAAATAAAAGAAGAATATGTTGAAATCCCAGTGACTTGGCTCACTAAACTGGAGGACCTCCTAGCTTAAAAATTTACATCATGTCATTGTTAAAGAAGAAATTTTTGTGTTTGATAAAAAAAATTAAAAAACTCTCTGCATGTTTATAGTAAATATTTGGTAATATGTAGCTCACATACACTGAAATTCTGTTAATGATTGCAGTGATTAACATGTTGATTTAGATGTATGTATGATGTACAATGCCTTACAGGTTTGAGAAAGTTGTATTGTAGATTACTTTTGTGGTGTATAAAGTTGAGTGTCCAGGTGTGCCTGGAGACTGTTTCTCGTTTCCCTGTAAATGTATCTGTGAAATACTCGTGTACTGAGATAGTGTTAAGCTATTGTATAAAGGCATAGAAGCGTATACTAGTGGCATCCTGTTATCCTCCTCTGGAACCTTGACCCGTCTCAATATCCCCCTTCCCCTTCCCCTTCCCCCCCTTCCTCTCTGTATCTCTTGTTTCTCTTCCTCCGCGTTGTTATGAGCCTGTTTTTGGTGAGCAGCGAAGAGATAAGTTGTTGGCCAAAGACGGTATGTAGTAGGAGACACGTAGATTTAGTGTGCGTGGTCAGATGGGAACTAATTCAGGCTGGGGCCTGACTTCAAACTTGTTATTTATTATTTTTTTATAAATACTTTTTTATATATTTATTCATTTTTTTTCTTTCTTTCCTGTCTTTTTTTGTTTTTTGTTTTTTGTTTCTTGTTTCATGCAGCAAAATAGATTTTTAATGTCGTGTAGATGTGGGCTTCATTTCTCTAGTCTGGCAAGGTACTAAAATTTGTTTGAGGAAAACCTTTACATTTTGATACAGGTTGCTTTTATTTTGTGTAAGAAAAGAAAATTTGAATATATTACTTTTGTAATATGTTGTTTGTGCTATTTACTGAGCAAACATTTACCTGAAAATGTTGCTCCAATTGCTCTTATCTGGTTTAGTGTGGTACATGAATTTCATGTGAAAACATAAGTTTGATTGTGAAGCAGAAGACTACAATGATATTTTTATGGCTTTCTAGCAAATCTGAGCAACAATATTTGAAGTGGCAAAAAGAAACAGTTTTGTGTGTTGTTTAAAAAAAGATGTGGGAAGTACTTTTTCTTCAGAAATCGTGTACGTGTGACTATTATGATTAATAGTGTTGCTCTCTCATAGATGTGTTTCTTGATATCTCTCAATGCTGTGCATGGCAAGAGATGTGACAATTTATGAATGTCCTTCCATCTTGTTACAGTTAACAAACTGGTTAGTTTTATTGGGTGTTTTGAAAGAGACATTGGTGAAAAGTGATGGTGTTATTTTAGTTACTTTTCTACCTGCAAGTGCTTTTTTTTATTTTTTTATTTATTTATTTTTTACTGGTACTTCTAGTACTTTCATATCTTTTATGGAGTATGTATGTTTGTTCAATTATCGGATAATTCTTTATTTCCCCCCTTCTTCTTTTGCTTTTTTGTGGGCTCTGGTTCAGTATGCAAAGACCTGGCAGTATATTGCCTTACATGTATATGATGTCAGTATTATATCATCAGTATAGGACAGCTGGTGGTGGTGGTGGTGCAAGTGGCAAGATTATATATAAATATATTTTTCTGAGAGGATTAATGATAAACGAAGAGAAAAGTCTTATAAGATTTGTTTTTATAGTTTTTATATACAGTTTGTTGACCATATTGTGTACAGATTTACCATGGAACAGCATAGCCAACAAAGTTTAAGCCATGTCGCTCACTATAAGAAAGAGTTTGAAGCCATGCCTCCTGCACAGCAAGAAGCAGCACTTTGCTGATTTTGGGAGTAAGTTAGAGTTACAGATCACACACAGCTACCTTGTTACATTTTGTAGAATCAAATGACTCAAAAAAACAAAAAC